TGTCTGTCTGTCCGTTTGTCTGTCCGTCTGTCTGTCCGTCACACTTTTTGGGACACAATAACTCTCTTCCTAATTCAGCTAGAATGTTCAAACTTGGTGTATGTGTTTATTAGGTCAATGCCTTGATGGAGTTCGAAGATGAGCATTTTCCGCTTAGAGAAAGCAGAGATAAGCAATTTGATTGGTTGATGCTTTGGGACACGATAACTCTCTTCCTAATTGGGCTAGAATGTTCAAACTTGGTGTATGTGTTGATTAGGTCAATGCCTTGATGGAGTTCGAAGATGAGCATTTTCCGCTTAGGGTAAGCAGAGATAAGCAATTTGATTGGTTGATGCTTTGGGACACGATAACTTTTAATTGAGCTAGAATGTTCAAACTTGGTGTTTGTGTTTATTAGGTCAATGCCTTGATGGAGTTCGAAGATGAGCATTTTCCGCTTAGGGTAAGCAGAGATAAGCAATTTGATTGGTTGATACTTTGGGGCACGATAACTCTCTTCCTAATTGAGCTAGAATGTTCAAACTTGGTGTATGTGTCGATTAGGTCAATGCCTTGATGGAGTTCGAAGATGAGCATTTTCCGCTTAGGGTAAGCAGAGATAAGCAATTTGATTGGTTGATGCTTTGGGACACGATAACTTTAGTTCTAATTAAGTGAGATTGATGAAACTTGGTGTATAGTTTCATTACAGTAATACCTTGACTAAGTTTGATAATGAGCATTTTCTGCTCAGGGTAAGCAGAGCGATACGCAATTTGATTGGTCGAGACTTTGGAAAACAATAACTCTCCTACTTTGATTGTCCCCCGCCTTTCGAAGAAAGCAGGGAACTATTAAAATGGGTTCGTCCGTCTGTCTGTTTGTCTGTCTGTCCGTTCCGCTTATTTGTGATAAATTTATATGTGTCCTCTAATTATTTTCCTATTTCGGCGGGGGACATCAGCCTCACTGTTGGCTTGTTTTTTTTAAATCAGATCAAAATTGGGAGTAAAGCACAGAGTCCGGGGATGGTAAATGGGCGTAATGTGTCCAAATTTCATGGTTTTCGGACAATCGGTGCCGGTGTCGTAGCGAAATTCCAATTTTTTCCCCTTACAGAATCCGTAAATTGACCAATGGCAGGAACCGTGTCAAGAACAAACGACATGAATGAATGCATGTATCGCCTTGAAATTTTCAGGGCACCTAGGTACCAACGTGAAAAGTTCCTAGCCGGAATTTGGTAGTCATATTACCTTTGGTTCCAGCGTTGCGCATGCGCGAAGTCAAAAGCAGCTAAATATGTTTGTTATGAAGGGATTTTTTTACAAAATGGACCTATCTCTTCGAAACTTTGGCTACCCCCCTTCCCCCCATTTCCGACCTCGCCGCATCCAAAAATTGTCTCCAAATTAAAATCGAACACCTAGTTCCATCTCTATTTTTTTGTTTTCCTTTATGTACCCCCGGGAAAATGGCCAGCGTTCGACCCCCATTGGTCGGGCCCTAAAACTTCTTGTTTGGAATTGTGCTTGGGACCATAAGCCAGATACCCGGTGAGTTTCAAGTTGGTGTGCACGATAGTAGGGTTGTGACGCGCATGCACGGGCCTACATTTGAAAACAACCTTGTCAGCACGGAAAACATCAAAGGCGAAATTCGAATTTTTGAAATATTCAAATACCAAACATTTGACCATGAGCCAGGCTATCCTGAAATGTATTAATTTCGGTAATAGGAGACAGATTCTTTAAGCCACGACCAATTGTGTATGTTTTCAAGCCCATTAATGTGGATTTTTCACTATTTTTCATATTCAATTCAAAATGGTGACTATCAGATGACCTAAATCAAAATTCTGCTCTGAACGTTTATTAGACATTCCTTCAAGGATTCAGTTCAGAAAATATAACTCCCGTGTCTGTAAGTAAAATATCAAAAAAGCCTTAGGGATATTTCACATTCCAAGATGGTGGCACTTCCGGATTGAGCTACAAATTTCATTTTTTGTGTATGAATCAGTAGTGTCGTATCTAGTACAGAAAAAATAATTCAATTTGATCTGACCTATATTTCTTCGATTTTTTTTAAAACTTTGATCCTTAATTTCATCAAGGGGAGATAATTTAGAAAATTTCTAATGACATCTTTCAAGTCGCATCTGTAAGATCTACTTACATACTAAATTTCATAAAAATCGTGCAACTATTAAAGAAGTTGTCAATAGCAGATTTGAAGTAAATGTTTCAATGTACTCAAAGAAAATTTTTTTAGTAAAATAGGTCAAATAGTCACAAAGTTACAGCATTGTAGGTCAAATGCATTCGTTCGTAAAATTCAGTGATTTCGGATTTGTAAAATGTTTTAAAAATATATTTAATCAACAGCCACCACCCATTTTTGGGGGGGATAGGTAAAAGTTTCAGAAAGATCCTATGGTTAGATTTTGAGAAATCAGATTTGTGGACAAAACACACAAAAAAAAAATAATAATAATAATATTAATCTTAACAGAAACAATAAGCTTTCATATGAAATATGAAAGCTTAATAATAATCCGAACAAAAACAATAGTGTTTCACACAAGCTACGCAGTGTGAAACCCTAATAATCTTTACAAAAACAATAGTGTTTTACACAAGCTACGCAGTGTGAAATCCTAATAAGAATAATTTTAACAAAAACAATAGTGTTTCACACAAGCTACGCAGTGTGAAACCCTAATAAGATAAACACTAAATTATTGAATAATGGCCCTTGCGCACTTTGTTGAAACTTGTGAATGCTTTAACTGCTCTTGTTGTTCTTTGATTTGATTATTGCAATGAATAACAATTGCAACAATTTCTGAGACACACAAACTAGGTCATCTCGGGACCAACATATGGTTCCATTTTATTTCTATAATTCGCATGTAAGGGCCTTTAGCAGTAGGAGGAAACCATAGGACCTTGAGAAAACCCACGAGGTTGGACAGGCAACCTTACTCCTTGTCAAGTACAAGCCATGAATCAAAACAACGCAACTTGACTAAATGACAGACTTTATGATTTAAGTATTTTAAGTTAAACCATTCGGCCACCCAACCCCACTATACAATTTCTAATAATTATTTAGTTACCGCTCTTGACATATTCTTGTGAACCTATCAAAGATTTTATACAGTGTGATGATTTTGCTTTTTCTTTTCTTTTTTTTTATACGCCCACATTGAAATGTGGTCGTATATTGTCGCCCCCGTCCGTCTGTCGGTCCGGCATCCACAATTGCTTATGGACACTCTATAGGCTAAAGTTAATATCCGATTGACTTCAAATTTGTACACAGTGTTTAAGGTCATGAGACGAAGAAGCCTATTGATTTTCAGCGATTTTTGATAATTACTGCCAGAGTTATGGCCCTAGATCACTTTCAAAAATCTTGTGGACACTCTAGAGGTCAAAGTTAATATCTGATTGACTTTAAATTTATGCACAGTGTTTAAGGTCATGAGACGAAAAATCCTATTGATTTTCAGTGATTTCCGAGAATTACTGCCACAGTTATGGCCCTCGATCACTTAGAAAAATCTTGTGGATGCTCTAGAGGCTAAAGTTAATATCCGATTGACTTTAAATTGATACACAATGTTTAAGGTCATGAGGCAAAGAAGCCTATTGTGATTTTCAGCGATTTCCGATAATTACTGCCAGAGTTATGGCCCTTGATCACTTAAAAAAATCTTGTGAACGCTCTAGAGGCTAAAGTTATAATCCGATTGACTTCAGATTGATACACAGAGTTTAAGATCTTGAGACGAACAAGTATATTTTCAATGAATTTTTATGACTTAAACAGTTAAATCCATGATATTAAATATCCGATTGACTTTAAATTTATACACAGTGTTTGAGGCCATGAGATGAAGAGTCATATTGATTTTCAACAATTTCGGGTAATTACTGCCAAAGTTATGGCCCTTGATCACTTTGAAAAATCTTATGACGCTCTAGAGGCTAAAGTTATCATCCAATTGACTTCAGATTCATACACAGAGTTTTAAGGTCTTGAGACGAACAAGTATATTGATTTTCAACGAATCTTTATGACTTGAACCGCTAAATCCATGATGTTAAAATTTTCATATACTAAACGTTAGCATGGGGCAGAACTTTATAAAAACCGAACAAATTCTAATTGTTTTCTGATAATTACTTAATGAGTTGTTACTCTTAAAGATGGGTTCCCGCGTATAAACTGGGTGATTTAATGGTATATATGGACTAAAAACATATTAAAACTAATTAATTTGTCAGAATTATTCTTCAAATCATTCTCAAACATTGTAATTGCGAAGGAATGCCCTGCTATTAAAATTCGATTAAACCAGGTCATGTTTACGTCACGTCTTGGAAATCAGAGGGGAATAAATTGCATACGATGTATCCTAATTAAATTCTCGGATTATCCACTAGCCGCTTCTTTTTTTGTCATTTTTATCTCAGAAAGTGTTGTACGTCTAACTCTTCATAAAGTTTATCAACTTGTACATCAAGCGCTCAATGTCCGTGTGTGACCTTTGACATCATGCGTGCAGAAATTCTTAATTCGTCGGGCTGTTGATTAGGGGAACCCTTACATTTTTGTCCTGTATACCCACCATGAGTGTTTTTCGGGGAATCCAGTATTTTTCTAGTAAGATTGGATATCTCTACTTTCCATAGACCAAAATTGCCATACTTTTATTGGAAATAACCACCCGATAAATACTTTTCTGGGAACCCATCTTTAATCAGATTTTAATGTATTATAAATGTTTCATTACCGAAAAAAAGTAAAAACATTTGACATCTCTTGTTGACTGCCCGGACGATATAGCTGCTGTGGGCGTATGTTTCGTTGCCTGGCAAACTGTCTTTTTTTTTTAACAGAGATTCACTATGCGACAACCTATATGGACAACTAATTAGTTGCTGTAGAGGTTTGTTTCGTTGCCTGGCAGCCTATCTTTAATTTTTGGTTTATTACAATTTTTTCAGGTCTGAAGGTTATCTTTGTTTACCCAAGATAAGATATTCAGCTATAAACTTTGACCAGGCTTTAAAACGTCTTCTATCAGCAGAATTTAGGTAAGTAAAACTTCTTACAATTATAAATCTTTAAATCTGTGATCAGGTGCCCCACCATAAATAAATATCTCTGAATATCTCCAACTATTTCGACAATTATAGCACTGTATGTATATATATAACAAGCCTTAACTTACCATCTCATATTTGTAGTCCCTAAATAAATGGTTGTGTTGTATTTACAAGTTATAACCATTTAAGAGTAATTCCATGAGAAAACCATGCAATATCAGGCAGATGTTCAAAGATGGGGGTCGGCCGATTGAGTTCATCCTCACAGGGTTTGGTCTACCCATGGAGCCTACTCCCCAGCCCAAATCGCCAATTTCAGAAATCGACCGTTTCCAAGATACAGGCCGATTACGATTTTCAGCTGATTTTTGTCATTTTTAGGCCAAATTTTAGCTATTTTTGTCGCACTACTACCACTGTTGTATGACGCTGACGAACTAGGGTTTGGTTGTTTGTGATAGTCGGGGTCTTACCCTATCACATTATCATGGTCACCTGGTTCATTTTCCATAGGTGTCAGGAGACTACACAAGATACGTGTCTGGAGATACCTGAAATGTACCCTATCTTCAGATTGCGATAGCTCCACTGGAGCAGGGTTTGCAATAAAAATTAAAATCAATTTATTTGCAGTTTGACCAGTTCTAACAACATAAGAAATAAAATCGTTGTCAGCTAACTTGCAAAAGTATGAAAATTTGTGTCGAAAGTTACCAAAAGCTTTAGTTTTGATTGGGATACATCGGCGGATTATTAAAGTACCCAATCGCCTATTTTGTTATTCAAAGGGTCAATATATCAACTCCGTCTCCCCTTCAACTTGCTTTGCCAAAATATTCAGTCTCGGTGTGGTTTGGTATCCAGTCTACAAATCCAAGATGGCGTCTCCCAGCGAATATGGATTTTTGCATATTCTTGATCTAAAATGTCGATCCTGATTATTTCAACATTTTTTTCCTATGAAAAATGAGAAATTTCAATTCAAAATTTTGAAAAACAACTGAGTTAGAGCAGATGAAAGGCGACAATTATGCAAAACAGACCCAATTTCCATGAAAATCGCCTATTTGGCCTTGACCGTGACCTTCCTTTTTTCAGCTTTAAATCAAAATTATGCAAATGCAAAACCGAAATAACAAAAAACAAAGCAAGACATATTTTGCGTCTTTAGTATGAGCATTCATCTTGATCTATTAGATTTGTAAACATTAATGTTTGCTTTTTAAAAGACCTTTGAACACGTCAAAATTGAAGTTTTGGGCAAAATTACGTCACTTCCGGTGCCAACAGAAACTTTTATAGGTAGAAGTAAGTTGAGAATTTGCACCAAGTGGGCTTTTCTTTTACACAAATCAGGCAATAAATAATTAACCCCAGAACCCATACACTGAAATTAAAATGCGAAAAATCTTAAAAAGTGATCCTGACAAAATTGGTTATTTCTGAGCAAGGGAAGATGTTAGAAACAATTTTGTGATATCAATATGATCGTATTGATTGATACTATTTGTCCATAGGAATCAAATATCATAATTTTACACCAATAATGAATATCGCTTACTTCAAACAATTACTTGTTTTCGAGGCTAAAAATACAGTGTTTGCCAAAGTGATGGTATTTCTGGTGATAATGAAAATACTAAATGGCATTAGGTATCACACAGTGAAATTTTTATGAAAATCGAATAATAATTGACACTTTTATGGACCAAAAACCTTGAAAAGTGACCTGCTGAAAATCGCCTATTTCTCCGCAACTGAACAAGTTAGAAACCATTTTGTGATATCTATATGATCGTATGGGTTCATTCTGGAATCAAATATCATAATTTTAAAAACAGTACAAATCAGACTTGTTTGAATAAAATATCTGTTTTGAAGGCTATAAATACAAATTTGGCCCAAATGGCGCCATTTCCGATGACATTGAAAATGTTAAATTGGTTTGAACTAGTCAAAATTGACATTACGCATCAAATGGTGTCACTTTTATGAAAATCCTGTAATAATTGGCTCTTTTACAGGCAAAATAGCGTAAAAAGTGACTCATGCAAAATTGACCATTTCTCGGCAAATACTCATTACAAACTAATTTTGACATAGATTCTCTTCGTATGGATTAATACAAGTTTATGAAATTTGTGAAGAAATATTTTAAAATATGAAAAGCCTGGATGGCTTGTAAATAGCTCATTTTTATACGCCCACATGGAAATGTGGTCGTATATTGCCGTAGCCCCCGTCCGTCCGTCCGTCGTCCACAATTTCTTGTGAACACTCTACAGACTACATTTATCATCTGATTGTTATGAAATTGATATATGTTGTTTGCATTAGTGAGATGAAGAAGCCTATTTAATTTCAATAACTTCCGTTAATTACATCTTGAGTTATGGCCCTTGTTTCACTTTGTTGCACCTTGTGGACTCTCTAACGACAAAAGTTATCATCCGATCTGTTTGAAATTGACATGCATCATTTAAATTAGTGAAACGAAGAATCCTATTGAATTTCAGCAATTTCCTTTAATTACGCTGTGAGTTATGGCCCTTGTTTCACTTTGTTGTACCTTGTTTATGCTCTAACGACAAAAGTTATTATCCGATCTGTATGAAATTTATATGCATCATTTAGATTAGTAAAACAAAGAAGCTTATTGAATTTCAGCAATTTCCGTTAATTACATCTAAAGTTATGGCCCTTGTTTCACTTTGTTGTATCTTTTGAACGCTCTTATGATAACAGTTATCATCAGATCTATTTGAAATTGATATGCATCATTTAAATTAGTGCACCGAAGATGCCTATTGAATTTCAACAATTTCCGTTAATTACACCGTCAGTAATGGCCCTTTTTCACTTTGTTGTACCTTGTAAATGCTTTAACGACAAAAGTTATTATCCGATCTGTATGAAATTTATAGGTATCGTTTAAATTAGTAAAACGAACAAGCCTATTGAGTTTCAGCAAATTTCCATTAATTACATCTAGAGTTATGGCCCTTGTTTTACTTTGTTGAACCTTGTGAACGTTCAAACGACAAAAGTTATCATCTGATCTGTATGAAATTGATATGTATTATTTGAATTAGTAAAACGAAAAAGTCTGTCGAATTTCAACAATTTCTGTAGATTACTTCCAGAGTTACAGCCCTTGTTTTAGTTTTTAGAACCTTGTGAACCCTCAAACGATGAAAATTATGATGTCATCTGTATGAAATTGTCTGTTAAATGCCCCCTAATTACCTACAAAAGAACAAATATACGACAACTCTTGTCGACCGCTCGGACGATTTAGCTGCTGTGGGCGTATGTTTAGTTGCCTGGCAACCTATCTTTACACCTTTTTTCACCTTAAAAAAAGCGCGTCCGAGATTTTTTGCTCCTTTGTAGTGGCATATATCTTGATCTATGAGATTTGCAAAAATTAACATTTGCTAGTGAAAAGAGGTTCCGACTCGACAAAATTGGAGTTTTTAGCAAAGTTGCGTCACATCCGGTGCTGATAGAAAACTTTACCGGTAATAAAAAAATTGAGAATTTGCACCATGGAGCATATGAACTTTGTTTTATAAAAATCGGGCAATAAATAATTAACCTAGAACCGATAAACTGAATTAGCCAATAGCGGCCAAGAAAAATTATCGAGACAAAAAATGTTCACATTTTTGCTCAAATCAGACGACCCCTTAACCCTGGGTAAAATGCCATAAAAAAATATTCATTAATAAAAAAGTTTTGGTCAAAATTTAAATTTTAAAAATTTGGCGCCTAATATCTCCGAAGATTCGTCGAAAATCAAAAATCTAAACTACCGTAGCTATTTGCCCTGTCTCAAGGCTATGTCAAAATATATCCAATGTTAAAATCCGACAATTATTGTTTATATTACTACAATATTTCAAAATATGACAACTTTGGCGTTTCGGACATTTCGCATTGTCGCAGAACGTTGGAAATAGCTTTAAAATTTAAGTCAAACCCACTTTCCCAGTAAAACCGAAGACATCGAATTGATCCGACAAGTAGTTTCTGAGATATGCTCAAGTGGAAAAAAAAAAAAAAAAAAAGAACTAGAACTGCGATGCAGTAATGACGGGTTTCACCGGTGCCACATTACCCTTGAACTTATGTCACTTCTGGTGCCTCGTTACCCTGAACTTATGTCACATTCTGTACCAATGAAACCTTTAAACAGATTTCCACATAGGCATTGCACACGTGTTATGAAATGGACGCAGAATCAACCAAATCCAGCAATATCAATTCCATTTATACATTTGTTACCATGCGTTAGATATGCCAAAAAAGTGATCCTGACAGAATTTATTACTAACTTACCACTAAGTTAGCTGACTATCTAATGGGAACTTAAAATGAGAAAAAAGTCTTAAAAAGTGATCCTGACTAAATTGGTTATTTCTCGACAAAGAAAGATGGTAGAAGCAATTTTTGGACAAGTATATGATCGTATTTATTCAATCTATATCTCCATTGGAATCAAATATCATAATGTTAAACGAATAATAAATGTAACTCACTTCAACAAAATATTTGTTTTGAAAGCTAAAAATGCAGTTTTTGCCAAAACGACATTATACTTCCGGTGATAATGAAAATGTTAAATTAGTTCCATGAAATCATAAATGGCATCAGGCATCACATGGTGAAAATTTTATGAAAATCGAATAATAATTGTAGCCCAAAATGGAAATTTCTTGGATTTTGATTGGTCGAAAAGTGGCGTCGAATGAGTATAACAGTCCTCTAAATTTCCTGGGCGACTCACTGCGAATGAATATTTTCTGTGTGCTAGACTCTGTTTGCAGTGGCCAAAAATTCTACACCTCAAAACTTTATTCTAGGAAATCTTCATGAATTTTTTCTTGTATGTCATCAACAATGAAATTCAACCATTGGCTTATTGAAACACACACCTGAAATACAAAAAACAAAGATAGTGAGTGTATTTGAATCATAATGGGTAA